AGACGCGGGGAAACGGTCACGTTCCTGCCGTTGGAATTCGGGTAGACGACGAAGATCAACGAGCCCGCCATGGCGCTACCAAGACCCATGGCAACCCATCCAGAATTCGTGGATCCCTTCACCTGGAAATAGGTGTCGGTGCCCGACGAGGGGACGTTGACGGCGGCGCATACGTTGCCGTCACCGGAGGCGCAGAAGCTGGAGACCTGACCGAGTACTGCGGTAGCTAATCGACGGACAGTGTTAGCATCGCATTCCGGGCCTCAAACACTGCGGTTCCAGAGGACCCACCCAGTGCCAACGCGCCGAACAGTGACCTCCTGAGTGAAACCATTGCTGTGTGTTGTAATCGACGATAGTCGTTTATTGTTCGAAACTCCCCGCAGCCCTGGGAAGAGAGAGAGAGAGAGCGACAGATGCGAACGAGAAACAAATTTCAGAGTGCAAGGTGAGGTTGCTTGGTGCGATGGAAGGTGCAACGAGAAGAATCGAAGAAGAGAAAGGGTGACAGAGGTGTGTAATAGGCCTGTATGCAAGTGGACGCCTGTCTGTTGGATCTGATTGGCCTATTGGTTGGTTCCCGAGTCGCTCGGCGGCTGGAGGAGAGGGCTATCTTTGATAGTACTAGAGTAACTAGAGTAGGGTGGAGTAGTAGAGAATCGATCTGCCTACTATATAACTACTGGTAGTTATAGCTGCTGAGATTGAAGAGGAAGGCTTCAACGACGACGAGAACGACGACACCGTGCTCGGTCTTATATCGAGAGATAGAAAAAGCGACAAACGAAGCCAAGGAGTCTTCCGTGGGCGGTGGGGGGGGGGGGGGGGGGAAGAGGGGGGGACAGCGAGATTTAAGCAGGCACTCTGGGCGTGTGGGCGGGCTCGGCAGAGAAAAGAAGAAAGCCAGATGGAAGGGCTGAGTGGGACAATGGTAAGGATGGATGAATTTGCAGCTAACTACTGGTAACCACAGCTGTCCAGGAATGTAGTCTACTCTAGCGAAGCCTGGGAAGATCGAAAACGACGGACAGATGCAATTCGCTGACCCTGCATCTGATCCATGGGGGGTTGCGAAGGGGTGGGTGGGTGCCTGGTGTTTCGAAAGCGGCTTTTTCTTTCTTTCTATCTTTCTTTCTATCCTTCTTTCTTCTATTTTCCTCCATCTCATAGGTATCATAAAGACAAAGACAATAGAATACCGATACCGTATCTATTCCGGAGGGAGTGTTCACCGGAGGATTCGCACGCACAGTCGGTTCTCTCCAGTGTCCAGATACCGGGGGCTGTGGGGTATTGGCGAGTGCCTCCATTCAATATGCACGGTGAAGGCTGAACAGTGAATATCAGTCATGCAGTTAACTATTCGTAGCATCGGGGGCTGTGAGACTGTAAGACTCGAGAGGGCGCGATGCCTAAAAGCGGAGAGTCGAGTCGTAGACCCGTAATTAGTACCCTGGGTACGATAGGGACTTTTTTGCTTGTTACTCCACCGAGCAGAGAAGCCATCCAGCCAGCTTGGATCGTCTCGTGGAGGGCCGTATCGTGAATGTATTGTACTTACTCCTACTAATTATTACTAGTAAATAGGCAGTAGTGACTAACTGTACTGCCATTCGGTAGCAAGCATACTGATTATTACTGTAGTGTACAAGTAAGCCTTCGGACCGTGGCCGGCCAATCATCAACGTCCATTATTCACACTATATCTGACTATATTTGGCCCCCGCTTGAGAGCTTCAAGCTTGGCTCGAGCCTTATGCTTATCCTTAGTTTAGTCGTCCACTCGCTGAGCCTGAGGGTGAGGGTTGATGCCTGTCCAAAAAAAGGTTTCCCGGGAAACATTATTGGTCGGTAGGTCGGTCGCTCGGTCGGTCGGTCACTGCCAGGTGGGCTGTCATCCATTCCAGATCCTAGACATCCAGACATCCAGACATCCAGATTCCAAATATCCAGAACCACCATCATCATCACCATCCACGGCCTCGTCGTTCTCTAGAGCTCTAGAGATCGGGAATGTAACCGAAACAGCACCATCGTCACCATCACCACCAGTGACGACCAGTGACCACGACCAGTCATCATCACCACCACGCCTATCCCTTCCACGCCCATTCTCCGGCCAGTACCCAGCCGGCGGTATGCAACACCACCACCACCATCGACAGGACACGACACGACACGACAGGCCCGTCTCCGCCGCCCCGTCGCTGCGTCGCTCCGCTCCCGCACCGAGACACGACGCGATGCAGGAACTGGCAGCACATGGATAACTACTACAGTTACGCTGATGACTATTCGTCCAATAGCTACCATCGCATCTCATCCCGGGCCCGACGTGTCTTGCGTACGTACGTACGCCCCCCCCCCCTACCCCCAACCACCAACCACGAACCAACCACCTACCAACCACCACGGGGATCGTCGAAAGCTTCGCTTTAAACCCGACGTCGAGCGACGGTCGAGCTTCTCGTGCGATCGGATTATGGATACAGAGGTATAAAAAACCAACAGAACAGATCTCCCTCTACGTATGTACGTATGGATGGATAGCCCAAGTTCCAACTACTCTTGGTATCACAGTACAGGCATCGTACTGGAATGAAGGACCGAACGAAGGCCCGAATGAAGGAATGAATGAGTGAATGAGTGAATGAACGAATGGCCAGACGCCGCACAGCCCCACCACCCCCCCACCCAGCCCACCCCGCGCTGGAGATGCTCCATACTCCATGCTCCGGCGTCCGCCAAGTGTTCGGTAGGTATGCGGGGTCAAGTATAACAACCAGGTATGTAGCCCGGTAGCCCTCAAGAGTCGAGAAAACCTGCCATATCCAAGTTCCGAGTTCTTATCGTGACAGCGTAGGTAGGTGCAAATATGTATCTAGACTCTACAGTAGGTATCTAATAGGTAGAGTAACTATCTGGAGCACTCTACGCGAAGCCGCGTGTACTCCTGTTGCTTGTTGCTGGCGATCACCAATCAACTATGGGTGGTATCATGGGTAGGTTGGTAGGTACCGCTGCCAGTCACTACTCTACTCTCCTCTACTATGATTACCATGTATAATAGAGTAACTACAGTCGAATCGCCAGCTGTAGTGCGCACCGGTACCTTGGTAACTAGACTCGGAGCACACACTGTTCACTGCACTGCACATTGCACACTGCCCAGGCATCCCATCCCCCCATGTGACCACGGCCAACACCCAGCCAAGCGGACGCGCGTTCCCATCCATCCTACCTAGATTCCTCACCTCTCACGAGTCGCGGATCACCCCTCGCCCCTCACCCTCACATATCCATCGTTCGTCGTTGAGTATGTCGAGTACCGGTGTGTGCATTCAACGTTGTGCACCTATGTAGTCACGGTAGTCACGGTAGACGGTAGACGGTAGATACGGTATGTAGATACCTACAGGCTACAGCAGTACAGCAGTACCGGCCAGCAGCCAGCAGCCAGCTCGAGTCCCCCTACATAGAGCCTGCCCACGACGGAGCAGCGGAGCAGCAGAGCAGTGGAGCACTACACATCCCAGAGGCCGGAGGTCGGGGGGATGCAAGGCGAGAGAAGAAGAGAGAAAAGGCGGACGGTCCTCCGCACTGTGCAGTCTCGCCGTGAACTCGTCGGGGTTCGAACTTCAAACTTCGTTATCGATACCAAATAGAGGTAGATATCTGTCGATCGACAGGAACGGACGCAGCGCCGCGCAGGCGGGCGGGGGTGAACCGTGGGACCGTAGGTGCGTGTGCGAGCGGGGGTGCGGGTTGGCTTCGTCGTCACTGGTGACTGGATGGCTTTTTATATCTGCCCTGCATTTGGCATCCCCGGCTTTGGTGGTAGGTGCGAGTGCGAGTGCGAGTTGCTGGCTGGCACTGGCAGTTACAGCGTGTCCGCATGAAAACAAAGTATCCCGTCGCTGGGGCTGAAGTCTAGAGAAATAACGGACACTGGACAGAGGCTGGACACCATGTGGAGATCTCTACTGCCACGGCTACTATTATACTCTATTATACTCTAAGTACTAGTAGACTACCGGTATCCAAACGAAACGTGATATGTAACTACAGGATAGTTGGCGGCTAGTTACCGTAGTTAACAACGCAGTTAGAGCTTGGTAGTAAAAGTAACCAGGTAACCAGGTAGCCGGACCACTGGCTCTCCGGACTGCCGAGCTTCGACGGTGACAGTAGCCCCACTGCAGTCTCTATTATGTACAACTACTATGTAGAATGGAGCGTTTGACGTCTGGGCGTTTACCGGCAAGTTCCAGCTAGTTACCGTAATTATTGACAGCTCGCCAGCGGCCAGTCTTCCGTGGTGCTTGTCGGCAAGCTCCAACTAGTAATTGACAGCTCGCCAGCGGCCAGTCAGCACTCGGTGCCAAGTGGTTGCAACTACGGGAAAGATTAACCACAACCACAACCACAGCCACGAGTCTCGAGAGTCGAGACGCATATACAGTAAGGTAGGTAGGGTAGGCACATAAACCGTTGCAGGCGTGACGCGGCTCCGGTGACATGGCGGGCTATGTAAATACTTGGTATGTGGTACCGAGTTCCTAACTGCTCTAGAGGATACCAACCCGAGCTCGCTATCTGGATTCCGGACTGTACATACAGTGCAGACGGACAGAAGGACAGAGATAAGTATGGAATCTGGATTGTCATCATCCAGAATAGAGTACCGTAGACAGGCCACATTCGAATCTCGATGAATCATGAAACACAACCAAAAGGGCCCTTGATTACGCCCGCCCTATTATTGCCGCCGTATTGGCAGTTGGGTACCGCCTTTTTACTCTACACCTTGCCAACCACCACCACCACTCCGCCACAGACTCAATCCAGTCCGACCGCCCATCGTAACAATCTTCTCATCGTCGAAAATATACAGATACCTGGAAAGTTGCAACTGACACATAAACTGAGAAAATCATGGAACTGCACATAAAAAAACACTCCGCATTTCGCCAAACTCCACATCCCCATCCCCATCCCGCTCAAAACATGGGACACCACCCAATATACATCGCGCATAGATTCCCGGGGTCCGTCGCCTTCTTGATCAGCACCTCGACGTGGCCCTCGACGCTCAGCGGCACGGTATCCGATTCCCAAAGCCCCCTAAGCTTTGCCTGTATGCTCTCGAGGATCTCCTTCGGGGTCTCGGGGGACGGGAGGAGATCCGGAGCCTTCGCCGCCTTCTTCGAGCTTCCCGTACGCTTTACCATGTCTACGCTAGGGTCGTGAATGAACGCCTCGAGGACGGTCATCATAGTTTCCTCGTTGTGTCTCAGGAGTCTCATTGCGCTCTCGCAGGCCTTGCGGAACACGCCCTCGTAGCCGGTGACGCCAAAGGCGTCCACCATGTTTTGCGTCAGCCGGAACGGCACGCGCTCTGGCTTCTCGAAGCCGAGCCCTTTGTCGAAGAGGCAGTTGAAGTCCACGTGCACAGTGTCCCCACTGAGCTGGTCGAACAGGATGTTTTCGCCGTGGCGGTCGCCGAGACCGAGCACCGTGCCGGTCATGGACATCACCGCTGACGTGCGCGTGTAGCGCAGCCGTGCGGCGAACCAGGCGGCCGGCTCGGAGAACATCTCGAGGAACCATTCGTGGAAGATGGGCGGGTACGCGGGGAGGACCGTGTTGGAGAATATGTGGGGCTTTCTGGTCTTGGGATCCTTTATGTCGCCTGTGGCTTCGTCGAGGAGTTTGCGAGCGGTCGTGTAGTTTATGTGGATGTTCTTTTGTTTGTAGTAGAACAGCAGGATGTCACGCAGCGTCTGAACGTTGCTCACCCACTCGATCACGCCGCATTCTTCGTTGAGCGGGGGTGACGGAGTATGTGCGGATGTAGAGGTTCCGCCGACTGGACTCGGCGTCGCGCTTGAAGAACCGGTTGATCATGTTGTTGAACTCCATCAGTCGTGCGTCCTTGCGGAGGTCGTCCTTGGGCTTGCAGAGGAAGGAATACACCCGCCCATCTGTGCCCTCTATACTGATCTTGCGTGGCTTCTGCAGCGAGGCCATGATGTGAACGTCATCGAAGAACCTCTTGATCGTTGGAGGGTTCGCCGCAAACGCATAGTGTCCGTGGCTCTCGATCGTATCAGTGGGCGAGGGGAGGGTGACAGTGAGCACCGCCTGTGTAGGAAGTACCAACTGGCACGGCGCCACTTCGTGGCGGAATTTGAAATCCTTCTTCAGACTGAGATGAGCCAAACGGTTGCTGAGCTCCATGTTACAGAGGTCCAGGAGTTGATCCGTCAGTTTCCGCGCTTCATTGATGAGCAGCTTCGTATCTATGGTACCAGCGGGGATTTTTCCTTTCGGCAGCGATTCCCTCAACTGCGTCAGCACCCGCTGGCCGCGCTGCGAACGTTCCTTAGACGTCGACTTCATCACGGCCATTAGAGACCACATCGACTGCTGCGGATACGTCATGACCACTTTGACAATGATGGTCTGGATCTGCGCGTACACCCTCTCGTGCGAATGGATGATCCGCGACATGAGCTGCGGCAGCGCAGTGAAGAACATCCATGCTCCCAGCTTAGTCTGATGATACCGCTCGGTCGCCTTGTGCAGATCCTTAAGCTGCTTCGCCCTCAACCTTTCTATGTGCTCCCTGTACTTCTCGGTCCCGTAAACCGCATCCAATGGCCTCTTGACCTCATCACCGAGATCCATCCAGACGGTGAGCAACCTCGGCATGGTCTGAAAGATGTATCTCGCGCCAAACGCGAGTGCGCGCATGTAATTCCGCACGATATGCACTGCGTGCGAACCGCTCAGGAAAGTTGACGACTGTCGCTGCGGTGGAAGAGCTTTTTCGGCCTCGTACAGCTTATTGTAGTGGCGTCCTAGGTAATAATGTGCCTTCTCCCACCGTTGAAACCACAGAGTAGCGTCGGTATACTTCTGGAGCAGCGCCGTCGAATGTGTCTGACCACTGGCCTCGAGCCACCTCGCGAGCAGCAGCTTGGCCCTCGCCACCCTCTGATTCTGCTGCGGCTGCGGCTGCGCCTCGAGGCTCTCCGTCGTCACCGTGAGATTCGAGTTCGTCGACACCCGAGTACTGCTTTGGAGAGCGACAGTGGTGCCTCGGTTCCAATCTCGAGGATCTTCTTCGCGATGGCACCATTGAGATTGCGTATGGCATTCTTATGTTGACCCTCATGCCACAGGAGCTTTGCATGTTCTATCGTCGCCAGCGCCGGATTCAGCAGCGTAGCATGATGTACGGCATTATACGCCTGCTGGGTATTATCATTTTTCCTCGCGAGCTTCGCAGTGCTCAGCCAGGCCGACATGATCTCATCCGTCATATTCTTTCCCGAGAGCTGCAGTGCAGCCCTCCTCACCGCCAGAATGTACTGTTTATCCGCAGGGTATGTGCCCATGAGATTCAGCCGACTCTCGAGGACCGTGTAAACGCGCCCGCATCGAACTCCGGCCGGTGCAGACCCTCACTAACGCTCTGTAACTCAGAGAGCGCATGTAGCTGAACGAGGAAGTGTGGGACTGCCGGATACTTCCCGTGGCCGACTCCGTCATCGTGGTGGCAACCGTTTCTCGAGCGCTGTTGACCCACTCGACGAACGCCTCCATGTTCTGCTTGCGGAGCTCCGAAAGTGCGTAACCCATGCGGATATCGTACGTGCCGTTCGTATGCTCGTTGGATTTCGACAAATACTTATCCAGCGCGGTCCAGTTCCCCGTTACCCCACGAGGCTTCAACCGCGAACGGAAGCAATCTCGTATGCGCCTGCGCCGAAGTCGCCATCATCCCATCGACCTGATGGAGCAGCGCATCGTATTGCCCCGAGTCCCGCAGAGAACTGATGAGGTCCGCCTGAACTTTGACATCGCCGGCCTCTCAGCCAAAGCAGCTCATACCAGCTCTGTACCGCCGTCCACTTCCCAGCCTTGCGATGCTCCAGGATCTGCTGGTCGATGTCCAACGTGGGCAGCTTCGCCGAGATCCCCGCCATCCCGTCTGCTCGTCGATGTGCGTGTATATGCGTTGTAGTTGGACATACAGCGGTTCCATCTCATCCTCCCGCAGTTCGTTCCTCTTAGCTCTGATGTGCTGCTCCCAGTAGAGGAGAGATCGGGCGTAAGATTTGAACTCGAGTGACCGTCTTCCCATCAGCTCAGGAGGTATGGCATCCAGGATGCTGCGGACACGGCGGATGGCAGGATTCAGCTCAGAATCATCTTCCAGGGAGTAGTGTCTATTCTGCTGTTTCGCAGCCGCCGTCTTGGAGATCAGGTCGTCCTGCCGCTTGTCACGAAGCCACTTGGTCATATGGTCGATCGCCGAGAAGATGACCTCGATGCACTGCCGCAGCGTATCCTTCATCTTGGTAGTATCATAGGGCCCGCACCTATGCCTCAACACCGCGAGGAACTCCTGCGTGATGTTTTGCCTATCCGCGTCCGAGCCCGCGATTGCCGTATGCAGCACGGCGACAGGAAACAGAAACTTCGAGATGGAAATATCCTGCCCGCGGCAGATCCTTACGCACGCATCGAAGATCTGTTTAGCATTTGTCCCCGAGGCATTTGCACAGGAGCTCCGTTATGATGGTCATCAGCCATTCCCTGAACGTTATGCCCGGCTTAAACAGCGGGTAAGTGAACGGCGCGCGCTGGACCCCTCCGCTCAATGAATACTTCGACTTCAGGAACGGCGTCAGCGTCTCTCGCGCCGCAGGCGGAAGGTTATCCCATCGTTTCTGCGCAGACGATTTGATTGTGGACTGCGACTTCCGCGGAACAGGATTTATCTGATTCGTGGCCTGGCAGAATTCAGCAGCTGCTGAGCGCACACGCCAGGACGCCTTGCGATTTCGTATCCTGCGACGAGAGAAACTGCTTCACCCACGATCTTCTCGAGGAAGAACATGGCAAATGCCGCGCTCTCGTCCGCTCGCGTGAAATTGTGAAGCACCGTCATCTCCTCCTTGACTCGGCTCGACTCGACAATGTTCGGATTGACGGCGCCAATCAAGCCAAGACACTCCGTACATAGCCGTTCGATTCGAGGCCTGGCCGGTAGGTCTGGATCTTTGAAGGTGACGATGACATCCAGGAGGCTCCGTATCATCTCAGTCACCACGGAATCCGGTTGCTGGTTCCCTCCAGAGGTGTGAATGAAAGTCTGATTCTCCTTGATGCAGTCCCTGAGTTCGACGAGCGCGTACTCCACGACGATGACATTCTCGTGTCCGCAGCGGAGAGCAAGCTGATGTAGCCGCTTCTGTGGCTGGACACCCTCACGCCATTTCTTCAAACGGGTTTCAAACTTCCTCAGGAGGGGGATTGAAGCGAACGAAGGTATCAACGCCACCGACTCCTCCAGCACCGGAGCACGAGCTTGAAACATCTGAGCAATCATATTCCGGGCAATTTCGCATGCCTCATCATCAAACAGCGACCAATACCGCAAGAGGATGGAAAACGTCTGCGAAAGCAGCGGGACTAAGTCCTCGTCGTCAAGGTGCACCACCATTATCGACCAAGTCCTCAGTGCGGTCGTGCGGAGAGCGTCGGACTCCAGCGCCGACTGGCAGCATGCACAGATCTGCGGTAGTGCACTCGTCACCGATCCGGAAGCGAGATTGAGCATCTCCTGGATTGCCTTCAGACATCGGATCTTCTCCATGTCGGTGGATTTTCCTTGTGCATTCTTCAACGTGTCGCTGAACAGCGTGCAGAGTCCAAGAACATGCGTCTCAAAGAAGTCCACTAGATAGTCGATATTTGGCGGTGGTTTCATCTTGCGGCTGGAGGTTGCCGGTGTATGAACTTCCGGCCTATACGACAACTTGAAGACGATTTTGAGAGCTTTGTGAATTCTCTCCTTCTGCTCCTGTTCTACCAGCGGGCATTCCCCGGCCATCTTTAAAAGCTCAGCAGCAATCATCAACGAATCCGGCCTAACCAGCTCCGCCAGACTCGATGTCTTAAACTCCGACGAGATAGCCTCGAGCTGCTGCATAGCATGTTTCTCGACGTTGGTGACGTCCTGTACAAGCAATACCGGCAAGATCGACGCAATGTTATCGTAGCAAGTAACCTGCACGCTACGATCCTTCCCGGACGCTTGTGCAATCTTTTGGATGACATCGGTTTCCCCCTGGACGACCAGATACGGCAGTGTGTAGGCTTGCGTGTGTGTCAGGAACTCGTTCAGGTCCATCGAGATGAATTGGATCAGTGTTTGCACGATCTGCGGCTTGGTTTGGAGCTGCTTGACTGCGATTACGCTGACGGTGCGCCAGAAAGGCGTGACCAATCTCCGTGGCTGGGTCTCGTGGGCTTGAACCAATGCATCGAGCTGGCGATCTGTCAGAAAGAAACACATTTTTCAACCACCATTCAGGTGCCTACCTCATTCAGTGCCGCACCGATCACCAGGTCATTTGGATATCCCAGGTACTCAATCAGTCGTAGAAGCACCATATTCAATTCCTGATTCACAGACACCCTTTCAAAGTCAGCAATGCACACGATCCGGTTCGCGGAGCAATTTACCTTCCAACCTGGCCCCACGCAAGCACTGTTGTTTCCGGCGTAAGCCCATCATTGGCAGTCGACAGGATTGTGAGTCCCTCCAAAATGATGGTCTTATTCTTCGACAGTAGATCGGCGTCGTGCGAGAAGTTCAAGAACGACGGCAACGCCCGACTGATGGATATATCAGCACTGCAAGTTCACACCCATACGCAAACCACATACCCAGCAGCAATCCTCAGCTCCCTCCTCCCGCTTTGCAGCAGTCCCATACACCACTCGCCCATAACGGAGATTTCCATATTCAGATGCGCCGCTTCCTGCGTATGATTCATCATGCGTCTGACGGTCTCAACACCCCACGCCCTGATCTCTGGGGACTCCGCGAATTTCTCCATCTTGTGGATAGCTTCGAGAGCATCCAGGAGCTGGGCCACAGCTTCACTCACGAAGCCACGTTTCCGGCGGGGATATGGCGCATCGGAGTCACAGAAGCCACATCTGTACACGTACTCCCCCTCTGCTCCGGTCCGCTCCAGATCACCGGCGGACGCACATGCAACGAGTCCCATGGTGTGAACGGTTGTGCAGCGATCACTTTCGGATGTTTTACCGAAGCCATCACGGTGGCGCTCTTGAGGCCGGTGAGATCGCCGGCGGCTTCTCTGTTTCCATCCTGAAGCAGGGAATACACCTTACGTACGAGCGACTTCGTCAATTCCTCTGGAGTAGATATCTCATCCTGGACGAGCCTCCGACGCTTCCTAGGACCGTAACCGTCGTCGACTGCCACCTCTTCTTGCACCGGTAGTGGAACCGCTCTCAATTTCTTGTCCAGCGCGGCGTCCTTGCATTTCCATTCTCCGCCGGTGGTAGCATTCAGCGCTTCCCTCGCCTTGGTGACCACTGTGCGCTCCTGCGTGATGTCGAGTATGAGCCTTAACAGGACGACCTGCATATCATGCCTCAGCAGCTTCCAGGTCCCTTCATCCGAGACCATCGCCAGCGCCGGCGAGAAAACGCGATCGTTGAGCAGCTCCTGGACGAGCGGCGACTCGCCGTCCGCCGAAGCCACCGCCACCAAGCTCAGCACAATCCCAGCGACCGCCTGTTCCGCGATCTGGCTCATCTGCTCAACGGGGCGCTTGAGCGTATCCACGACGCAGCAGACGGCAAACATGTACAGTCCATCCAGCTTCCCCTGCGTCTGCGCCCCCGCTTCCACCGCTAGTAGATCCAACGCCGTAGCCACCGCCCTTAATATCTCAGTACACGTCCCTCCGCCTTCTCACGCATGACCGGCAACGACTCCCACGAGGCCATCATGACGCCCCAAATCTTTGCCAGGCCCTGCTGCGCAGCAGTGAAATGATCCGCGATGCTTCTGATGCCGGGAAGATGCCTCGTCCTCCTTTCGGCGGCGACAATCCGTGCCAAGATGATAAAGATGTTTACTGCCACCAGCGCCGCGCTCTCCGTGTCCGACAGACTGAAGCGTATCGTGCGCGGATCAAATTTGGGCAGGTTCTTGCGGATCGACCCGTCCATGCTGAAGTCAGACGCGGGAGCTCAAGCGCGTAGATTCCCGCGAGAGTGTCCTTTCACCGTCGTGGGCTTTGGAACGACGCGCTACCTTAGGTTTTCCAGAGCACCCAATCAGCGGACATTCCCCTTGCGGCAGCCCAGCAGAAGGAAAACAGCAGCAGTCACGTGCCACTGCACCCAACACCAACATCGGAAAGAAATGGTTATTACAATTTACGCAGCCGCGGAAGTCCCCGCAACGGTCCTAAGATGTTTCCAATGCTCGGCAAGGATCCGCCCGCAACACCGTATCGCCTCCAGCGTCTCGACCAGATCCTTCGCCAGCCCTAGCCTTGTAATGTCCCAGCCGGAAACAGCCTCGGAAACAGCAGAGATCTATCGGCCTCTGATCTTGGCTGTCATCTCCGCGGATACCACAGGCGGCGAGTACACACGGCAGTCCTCTGTATGGTAAGCCTGATGACGAGCAGACTATTCCTGCCTCTCAGCGTCTCGCTGGAATCCGCAAACCTCCTCATCCTGCGCCAGCAGGACCGTGAGGCCGGCACTAGTAACAACCTGGAGGACCTTATAGTTGGTAGCACACGTCCTCCTCGTGGCCGCCCGCGCCACCCTCGTCAGGCCCCAGTATCTCCGCCAGCAGCTGCTGGAATGGCACGCCCGGTTCGGCAGCCCGCCCGTTCCGCCGCCCGCCCCGCCGCCCCCGCCCGCCTTGCTGTAGTTCTGTACGATCACCGCAATCGCTGATGGCGGTGGTGCTTGTGTTTGCGTTGGAGCTTGTGTTTGGGGTGCTGCCGCCGGCGTCATCGCTCGTAACGAGAACGGCGCGGGTGGAGGCCGCATGCTGCCGCTGCCCCTCCGCCTGCCCCAACGATTGGACCGCCCTTCGGGGTACACCCCCGATTTGCGCCGCGATACCGACATGCTGTGTTTAGTAGTGCGCCGGGAGCGGCGGCTGCTTCATCACTCGACGTGCGTGGTAGGTT